CTCGAATTCGAATTACCCCCCCCCCCCCCCCCTCCCCCTTCTTTTAAAAAGGGAAAAAACCGGACACACAAGAACAAAAAGTTCAGATAACATAGACAAGCAGCGATGCCATGATAGTGATAACTGGATAGTGAATCTACAAAGAAAAGGTTTTGTACCAAATCATAAGGCGATGTCAGCTGAATCTTTTATCATCCTCAAGCAACGTACCAGAATTCAAGCAAGTCAAGGCAAAAATAACTATACTACCATCTATCTTAACAAGAAGAATAACCTATTATCTTTTTTCTTTTTTCTTTCTTTTGTTTTTTTAAGGGGACCCTCGGCGCAACAATAAAAGTTGTCGCTATGTTACCAGGAGGTCACGGGTTCAAGCCATGGTAAACAACCTCTTGCATAAATGCAAGGTAAGGCTGCGTACATAAGACTCAATGTGATCCGGTCCTTTCCAAACCCCCCGATATTGGGAGCTTCGTGCACCTCATAACATATATAAATATTTTTAAAGTAGATATTATATAGACACATGTAGAGTCTCCCGTTGTTTATATGTTGGATCTGCTTCTGCTTACCATAGCAATGTAAATTCAAGCAGAATGTACTGACCTAAAACAACTGACAAAGTTTAGAATATAGAAATAAAAAACAGCTATGTGAACTTGGTTTACCTGACTTGAGTAAGGAGGTACAGTGTTACTATTATTGTTAAGAGGCAAATCACCAGGGTTGAATCTTTGAGAAGGGATACTAAGCTGTTCATAAAGAGCCATCTTGTTCCTTGGAGGTGCTCTTGGACCTCCTTTCTCTGTATCATTCACATGAAGCCTTGGAAACATTGGCCTCATTACTCTCTCTTCACCTTTCTCTCTCTTCATCCAATTCTAGTACTGCTTTTTTATGACCGAGAACTCCGTCTAGGGCCAACCGCAGCCCTTGAAACTCTTGGATGATGGACCCGCCCCTCTACCTTTCTCCACTTACACCTCTTCTGGTCGAAACTCGGGGTAATGGGTCCGCCCCTCCTCTTCCACTTACTCCCCTTCTAGTCTTTTAAGAGATACAACAAAGTACTATGTTTTTGTGAGGGTGGTGTCCGGACCAGCTTGCACGCACCTCGACTATTCCATCGAATATCTACTAACTCCCATTAGCACAAATACAACAAAGTACGTATTTTTTTATGATGGTGGTGTCTAAGCCAACTTGCTTGCACCTCGACTACTGCACCGAATGCTTGATACCTCTCGCCAGCACAGATACAACAAAGTACTATTTCCTTTTTACGACGATGGTTTCTAGGATAGCTTGCTCGCACCTCGACTATTCAACCGGGTACCTGCTACCTCTCACCGACACAATACCACAAGTAGAATTTAATATTGACTAATTCAAGAATCCCCCAAGAGCAGCCATCAACTATTCAGATGATCACAAACTCACAACCCCATAAACCAAAATCAACCCATTTCCTCAAATGAGTACAATATTCAAATTTCACTAGCAACTGAAAGTTTAAATGAAAAAGTATATTCTTTTACCACAAATTTTTCATAACTGCTCAAAACTAATCTGACCCACTTGAGAAAACACTGAAATCCATACACGCAGAAATGAAAAAAACTACTAGTTTTTTACCTCAAATCAAGCACTTTTAGAAGTACCCAGAAGCAAAAAGACATGAACTTTGCTTTGAACAAGAGATTAAACTGAAGAAACAAGAAGTGATTCTTGAAATGGGAAAGGGGGATTCTTGAAGGAAAAAATCAAAGCCAAAAAAGTTTGGCCATGGACCCAATTTTGGGTAGGATATAGAGATAGTTTATTGGAGTACAAAAATTATTGTTGGGACTGTGAGTTTGTGATTGAGATTTCTTCATTTTTTTTATGTCACATTGGCAACTTGGTCATTGAAATAACAAGTGTATGTCTCTTTTATTTAAGATAAAGTAATATTTGATTGGTAGACAATAAGACAAAGAATGATTCATTGGAGAGACGGTGGCCTACAGTTTTTATCATTGGATAATATATGTACTACAAAGGTCTAAGTGCAGAGCAACAAGCATGAGTCCGGAACCGAAATGTTGTCTTTTTTGACTCAAAATACTTAAATATGTGAAAAAAAAATTTAGGGACCAAAATATGTAAAACGCAGTAATGAATCACGTTTTACCTTAACGTCCGTTTGGGACGTTAAGGTAAAACGTGGTTTAATATTGTGTTTTACATAAAACGTGATTTAATACCGCATTTTACATAAAACGCCTTTTAATATCGCATTTTACATGTTTTGTGGGCCCACCAATAACTCTTATGCGCTTAACTGACATAACAATAATTCAAATATGTAAAAGGCCCTTTTAAACTGCGTTTTACTTTCAAAAATTTGACCCCCCCCCCCCCCCGGATTGGGCATTGCCTTATTTAAAGGCGTTAAGGGTTTTGAGAAAAATCATTCAGAAATACTACAACTTCGTGATAAATTTTTCTTTTTGTTAAATTCTCAAGCTTTTTTCATAATGTCTGAAGAGCGAAAAGTAAGGGTTTCATTATATTGGGGGGTGAGGTTGAGGTGGCGAATAACTTAGTGAGCTATAGTTTATCTCCACAGAGTCATGTTAAGTTGCCACTTACAATGGAGTACGATAGATTGGTATCGTTGTTATGCAATAAAATAAGGTTGAGCAAACGTTCGGTGAATCTTAAAATAACCAGAAGATATCCGTATTTTGTGACTCCGCAAGGGGTTGCTTGTTACCTTGAGTTTAATATCGAGGATGATGAAACTCTAAGAGATTTTTTGGGGCCTCCGGATGAATACCGGGAACTTATTTTGATAAAAATGTTGAAAATGTACGTGAAGGTTGAAGACGTTCGCAATAATGATGTTGCGCAAAACAAGGATAACCCTCAATCATCGAGTGGTTATTCTGGAGCAGTTTTAGCCCAACAGGTTCCGGCTGAAAGTGTTTGGCCAGATCTAAACTTATCTCCACGGGCGAACGAGGAGCGAGGAAATAATTTCTCTCCTACTTTACATAATCCACAAGACGACTGGTAAACTTCAATTTTCCTTTGTGTTACGATGTTTATTTTTGTTGTATTGAATTTGTATTAACACTCATATATTCCACAGGGGTACCGTCCAGATATGAATTTTACAAGTTATGAACCCACGCCCAGTTGAAATATGCGTATTTTTGGTGTGTTGGATCACGATGGTCCATCCGAGAGTCATCACCAACAGGATAATGTCCATCATGGAATGTCAACACATTACAACTTGTAAGTGAAGTGATATAGCTATATGTAAAGTATTTATCAATTTGAGTAGCTTACTATTTTGTTGTTTGTGCAGTGAAAACGAGCAACTTGATGGTCTTGACCTCACTCAGTTGCCCGTAGACGACGTATTTACTCGGGATTTGACAGATGCGCAGAGTCAGGAAGATAATAGTAATTATGACAACAATGCCGATGAGTCTAGAGATGACACACCCTTCCCTGACGAGGGTGATGAGGAGGAGGAAGAGAATGTCGAACCTGAGCTAACGAGGGAGCATGCTCCACCTCCCATTAGACCAAGAGTGTACGAGTCCCACGTGCCGTTTCATTCAAGGCATATTCCCTACCTTGATAATTTGCAAGTATGCCGGATGTGGATGCCCTCACAAGGGATCTTGACGAAATTCGAAAAGTAATGTGGGATGAGTCTAGACCAACGGTGCTTGGCAAATGGCATGTTTTTTCCCGATAAAGCTCACCTAACCAGGGCTTGTAAAATGTACAGCGTAAGACAGTGTCGTGAGATGATAGTATGGGAGTCAAGTCCGGAGGTATACAAGATTGTTGCCGTAGATGGTTTACGGGTTGTCACTGAATGGTGTGTGCGACCAAGAAGGAAACAGGGTTGTGGAAAGTGGGTAAATATATTGGCACCCGCAATTGTGAAATGGACACATTCAATGGGAATCACTTCAACTTGTATGTTGACTTGATTTCTCTTCAACTGATTTCACACATTGAAGTGCCCATTAGGTACAAGATCAAAGAGTGTATTACATCCGTCCACCAGGAATATGGGTGTACTATTGCCAAAAGAAAGGCATATCTCGGGCGCAAACGTGTATTTGAAATTGTTTATGGTGACTGGGATAAGTCATTTGCATCTCTACCCAAGTACATGGCCGTACTGAAACACTTTAACCCCGGGACTATTGTTGAATGAAAGCTTGAGCGGAGTGCAGGAATACCGGAATATATATTGAGATACGTGTTTTGGGCATTTAAACCAGCAATTGATGGTTTTGTGCATTGCCGTCCGGTAATTTCCATATACGGTACTCATGTATATGGAAAGTATGATATTAAGTTGTTGATCGCCGTTGCAGTAGATGCCAATGGACAAATATTTCCACTAGCTTTTGCCATCTGTGCCAATGAAAGCCAAGAGACGTGGACGCTATTTTTGAACCACTTGAAGCAGCACGTTATCAAACAACGTTCAGGTATTTGTCTAATATCTGATTGGCATGGTAGTATATTAAGTTCTGTAGAGCATTTTCCTGAATGGCAGGAACCCTATGCATACCACCGTTACTGTGTGAGGCACCTGAAGGCCAATTTCTAGAAGAAATATCCAAACAAGGACTTGCATGATTTAATGTGGATGGCTGCAACTGATCACCAGCAGTGCAAATTCGGGAGGCGCATGGAATCGATCCGGCAGTTAGACGAAAGAGCCTATAATTGGTTGATGCGACATGAGCTTCACAAGTGGACATTGCATTCGGATGGTGGCAAGCGATGGGGAACCCTGACTACAAATATGTCGGAGTCTTTCAACGGTTTATTGAAGTCTGCACGTGAATTGCCTGTCACTGCCATGGTCCGGATGACATTCAAACAGATGGCGGAGAGGTTTGTTGAAAGGCATAGAGGTGCATCAGAATTGATGGAGAGGGGTGTTAAATTTATTCCAATACCGATGAAAAGATTTGAGAAATACAGGAGGCGAGCGCATTGGCATTCATTTTTACAGTATGATCATGACCGGGGTGTTTTTGAAGTTCGCACCGCTATCCATCAACATCGCGGGAATAATATGCACACCGTAAATGAAGCCAACAGGTTTGTGTTTATATGGGAAATGGACCATCTACCACATGCCGTGCTCACATGCCATGAAGTGCTTTCAACGTACAGGTTTAGGGGCAACCAACTATGTTGATAGGCAATACAGTGTTGCTGATACTAAAATACACATAGTGGGCAGTTGCAGCCAGTGGGTGCTGAGCATTATTGGCCGCCAGAACCATTTAAAATGTTGTGTAACAAGGACTATTTACGTAAGCTAAGTGCAAAAGAGAACGTGTATACGGAACCAAATGGATGTTGGTGATACCGTTTATGCGCGTAAATGTGGCATATGCTCACAAACAGGACACGAACGTCATAAATGTCCTTCAACTGCTTTGGGTGGCGGTGGTAATCCAACTCCTGGTGCAAGCTCATCTAATGTGCCCAACTATCAAGGATACACGTAGTGTTTTATTTTCGTAATGTTTTTTGTAATAAGTGTATATACTTGTTTATGTTGCAAGAAGTATCAAATAAATTATTGAAATCTTATTGATATTTAACATTTTTCAGTTGAGTAAATTAATGAATTTCTCCCTCCCGTTCATGTAATCAAAAATAGTATTAGATTAAAAAATGGAAAACTTTTACGTTCACTTTCAAGTTTCACTCTAAAATTATTAGAAAACTACACTGTCAGAGGAGGAAGATGTTTGATAAATAAGTGCATATATATAGCGCGGTTAAATACAACGTTATGTGTGTTGTCTTTTCGATCTGAAAAGCTTCCCGACTGCGAAAAAGCTGTTTTGTATCAGAAAGAATCTTAAACACGCGAAGCATAGCGTGGTTAAATACTATATTTTGTGTGAATATATATAGCGCGGTTAATACTATGTTATGTGTGTTGTCTTGTCGATCTGAAAATCTGTCCGACTGCGAAAAAGCTATTTTGTATCAGAAAGAATCTTTAACACGCGAAGCATGGCGCGGTTAAATACTACGTTCTTTGTGAATATATATAGCGCGGTTAAATACTACGTTATGTGTGTTATATTATCGATTTGAAAAGCTGCCCGAGTGCGAAAAAGCTATTTTGTATCAGAAAGAATCTTTAACACGCGAAGCATAGCGCGGTTAAATACTACGTTTTGTGTGAATATATATATCGCAGTTAAATACTACGTTATGTGTGTTGCCTTGCCTATAAATAACGGGCGCATTCTAGTTATTTTCTGCGCTTAACCATAACAAATAGCAAAACTTTCCATGAAAGCGGGGGTTTTTTCGCTTTAACAAATGTCAGAACGCATGTATGTACCAATGTGCCAATGTGGCAAACGGTGTATGATGGCGGACTGTTGGGATGATGGTCAAGTTGGGCGCAGATACTGGTGTGTGTGAATAGGTTTGGAGGCAACAACGAAATTTTTTGCAATTTTGAGGTATGGCTTGATGAACCCTATGAGCAGGAATGCTATAAACGATCTTTGCAATATCTTCATGATTTGACCAAAAAATAGTGGGAATATGAACGAGAATATAAACGAGAAATTGCGGAGTAGAAGGAGAAACTAAAAGAGGTGGAAGAAGAAAAAAATAAGCTGGAAGAGAAATTTAAATGGTTGGAGCAGAGAATAATAGGCGACGGTGACTAAACAATGACATGTATGTGTTGAGTGTAGTACTTTATCTTTATGTTTTCCGTGTCATGTATTTTTATTAGTTGTACTAAATTTAAATTATGTTAAGTTTCTATGTCTGTGTTTGTGTTGTAGTGTTAAAATAAAGAAGAAATGGGGAAATAAAAACATAATGCGCATATT